TGAGTCAGGGCTGCCCAGGCTGGCCTTGAATTTGCAATCTCTCTGCCTCAGCCTCCTGAGTCACTGGGATTGTATGTGTGCAACTGCACCTGGCAAGGGGTCACGTTTAACAGACAGCTGAATGTGTTTCAAGGGCTGAGGCTCCAGAAGCTGCTAGGACTGGAGACAGGATGGAAAGACCCCCAAAGAAAGGATGGCATTGGAAGCCATGGAGCTGGTGGCTGTGAGCCCCCAGGAATTTTGTGTTGCAGAGAGATTTCTGGAGGGTATTAGTCTCTGCAGGAAGGCAGAGAAAGATCTGGTGCCAGGACACTAAGCAAGGAAATGGAAGATTTTCAGGCGTGATGCTGTAAACCACTATACAGATGTGTCAAAAAGTGGGAGAAAAAGTATCCATTGGACTTGGCAGAGTGTAATGGCTGCTGACCTTGAAGAATTTTCATTGGCGAGCTGGAGGTAAAGTTGGGGAATGAGCAGGGGCAGGGAAGTGGAGCTAGCAAGAGGTGAGGACAGTTCTTTGAAGGGGAGAATAGAAAATATAAGGAGAGGATGTGGGGTTTCTTAAAAGACTAGAGGCTAGAAAGTAGAGGTGGGCATGGTATTAGAAAGGAGGGTTCCTGGGACCCAGAGTCTGGGTGGATGTGCCAGGGACTTGGTATCAGTCAAGAGGCCAGATCCACCTGCTGTGTGGGCACAGGAAAAGGGGGTTGCAGCCAAGTCCACAAGTGTGGTGGTAAGAAACCCTAGGGAGCCTGTTTCAAGGGCTGAGGCCACGTGCTTGGGTTCAGAAGGCTGGAATGGAAAAGCAGGTATGAGGGTCTACAATTGTAAAGGGATCCCTGGGCTGAGCTAGGTGCACCAAGACTCAGAATGGGGCTGGATAGGTTTGAAAGATCCTGGACTAGGGCTGCCAGATCTAGCAAATTAAACTACAGAATAACCAGTCACATTTGAGTTTGTATAAGCAAGTAAGTTTTTGGTATAACTGTATCCCACTCAGTGTTTGGGATATATTTACAATAAAAAGTTATTTGTTGCTTGTCTGAAATTCAAGTTCTGTAATTTGCCTGGCAATCCCAGCCTAGCATGGTAGAGCAGTGGGTCGGGGAGGACAAGGGGATGGCGCGACACTGACTGGGGCCCAAGCCTCAAAATGGGCAGCTGCGCCAGGGGGGCTGGGTCCCGAGTGAGCCTGAGGTCCGAGCCACGACTAGCATCTGCTCCGCCCCTAGGTTTTCTTGGAGTCCCCGCCCCAGTACTTTGGTCTCGTCCTCTCCTCCTACCGAGCCCATGGTCTCGCCCTGAAGATTCATCGATATCTCTACGCTCCTCCCCGGCCTCTATCGACTCGCTCCGGCTCCCCTCACCGTCCTGGACTACGGTAGAATGCGGAGTGCGTGTAAGGTACGGAGGCCGTGGGACGAGGGCCGGGAATCGGCTTATGGGTGGCTAGGAGGGCGCGGTCGGGGGAAGCTAGCCAGCAGAAGGAAGGCAAGACAGTCGGCGGAGTCTAGGGGATCTCGAGGGTCCAGACGGCCAACGCCCCCTCCCATCAGGTCTAGCCATCGGCCAGCTACGCATGCGCAGCCGTAGCGCTCGGGTTTCTCAGACTCCCGCCGCCTGCGCGTGCGCGGCCCGCCCCTGCGGCAGAGGTGCTCCGCGTGACTGCCCCCTGCCGACTGCAGACTGCTTGGCGTCCCCAATGGTCTCTCGCCTGCTGTGCGCGTCCCAGAACCTGTATGAGCCAGTTTCCCGGTCTTTAAAGTCAGATTAATACATATCTCTGAGCTCCGTGTGGACGCAGAGGGCATCCCCTAAATACTATTTTTCTCCCCTCCAGATGCTCTGAACTTTGCTCCTTGCCCATCAGCTCTTCGGCCCTGTACAGGCTATATTCTTCCCAGCAGCTGCACCATGAACACATCCCCAGGCACAGTGGGCAGTGACCCGGTCATTTTGGCTACCGCGGGCTATGACCACACTGTGCGGTTCTGGCAGGCCCACAGTGGAATCTGCACTCGCACTGTGCAGCACCAGGACTCCGTATCCTCCACCTGGGTGGTGGGCTGGATGGTGCTGGGCTGGATAACCAGGTGGGGTTGATGGCTTGGGGTGGGAAGTAGGCAGCAGCCCAAGCCATGTGGTGGAGGCCTTGGAGGACCCCTAGTCTCAGGGTTCCCTTCCCATCATCCTCCTTAACACACACAGCAGGTGAATGCATTGGAGATCACCCCAGATCGCAGCATGATTGCTGCTGCAGGTAACTGTGACTCTTGACCTCTGATCCCTGACCTCTAGCAGGTCAACCTGGGCATAACCGTTCTTCAGTTCAGCCTGTGTCTCTAGGTTACCAGCACATCCGCATGTATGATCTCAACTCCAATAACCCCAATCCCATCATCAGCTATGACGGAGTCAATAAGAACATAGCATCTGTGGGCTTTCATGAGGACGGCCGCTGGATGTACACAGGCGGGGAGGACTGCACAGCCCGAATCTGGGATCTCAGGTGTCGGGTGTTGGGCAGGAGGGGCCCACTATCCAAGGGTGAGGGGGGCAGGCCAAGGGACCATCTTTGGGTAGATTCTCTCCAAGAAGAGGCTAATCCAGGGGGGTTTGTGTGGGTGATTTATGGAGGGAAGGAGAAAAGCAGGTTGGAGGAAATTGCATCCAAGAACTAGCTCTGCCTTGAGGCAAGGGGACAGGCTTTCATCCCCCTTGTCAGTCACTGGTGTCAGGCTACTGCCTGGAGTGAAGGACCGAACCTCACAAGTGTTCCCTATAAGGTAGCTCCCATCATCAGGGCGACAAGAGAGGGCATCTGGTGGGGTACCAACAGCATCCACCAGAGACGGTGTGTAACCTCATCCCCACAGGTCTCGGAACCTGCAGTGTCAGCGGATCTTCCAGGTGAATGCACCCATTAACTGTGTATGCCTGCATCCCAACCAGGTGAGGGGTGATTACTCATGGGACTGGGCACAGTAACGGTCTTGCCACACCTCACCTCCCCTGCACCCCCAGGCAGAGCTCATCGTGGGTGACCAGAGCGGTGCTATCCACATCTGGGATCTGAAAACAGATCACAATGAGCAGCTGATCCCTGAACCTGAGGTCTCCATCACATCTGCCCACATTGACCCTGATGCTAGCTACATGGCAGCAGTCAATAGCACTGTGAGTCCTGGAGGGGAATGCAGAGGCAGGGGCAGCTCAGCACCCAGCCACCTATCCCCTGCAGATGGATTCATTCCCTGGTGTTCCTTAGGCCCCTTCCCCAGTTTCTAACACCCATCCATCCCCCAAAGCCATGAACTTGGGTACCATTTTTAATGTCCCCCTCATTGCCTGCCGTAGCCCTCTCAGGCCAGGTTCCTCGGTCTCTAGAATCTCTCAAGGCTGACCATTTTCTTTTCTCCCTGTCACCTCCTGGCCTGAGTATCCTAATACTGTTAGCTTCTCTGTGGCTTCCCTTCCTCTTCTCTGACTTCCCTTGGTCCCCTGATCCATCTCCCTCAGCTAGATCCCAAGAAGCCCCTACTCCTGCCCAAAGCCAGTGGAATGCTGAGGTTCAGTTCTTGCTCTCCAATTACATTTTTCTCCCTTCACTTCACTTAGATTCCAATGCCTCACTTGTCCATGCCCCAGTCCTCCCTCCTCACAGCCTTGGCCTGAGGCACTCTGAGTTCTTTCCTCTCCTTTCCTTCTGCATAGCTCCATTGGCCAGCAGCCAAGGTGTATGTGAGTCCTTGGCCAGCATGGCCTCCTACACTTGGCTGGCTGGACATGGCCCTTGTTTGAGGTCAGGCTTCACAGGGGCCTCATATAGGAAGGACCCAAAATGCCAGCCTGCATGCCCTGGCCCAGGACTCTTGTGTATGTTGATCCCTAGTGTTGGTGGATCTTGGGTTCAGGTCTAGCCCTCAGAGCGTTCTCTGAGACTCAGGGTTTCAAGTGACTTCCTTCTTGCCCTATAGGGAAACTGTTACGTCTGGAATCTGACAGGGGGCATTGGTGATGAAGTGACCCAGCTCATCCCCAAGACCAAGATACCAGCTCATACACGCTATGCCCTGCAGTGCCGCTTCAGCCCTGATTCCACGTGCGTGTAGGACCTGGTAACCCAGGAGGGGATCTGCCTGCGACTGGGCGAATGATGGATCTGGCCTAATGCATGGCAGGAGGTTCAGGTGGGGATGGCTATTGTATGACACCCCATACTCTAAACCCATCCTAGGCTCCTTGCCACCTGCTCAGCTGACCAGACATGCAAGATTTGGAGGACATCCAACTTCTCCCTGATGACAGAGCTCAGCATCAAGAGCAGCAATCCTGGGGAGTCATCTCGAGGTTGGATGTGGGGCTGTGCCTTCTCAGGGGACTCTCAGTACATTGTTACAGGTGAGCCTTGTTTTCCTGCTTTGGCCTCCAGAGTGGCTCATGACAGCTGCTGCTGCTCTTCTGCCTTAAGCTGTCCTGGCTCTGAGCTTTTGCCTAATCCCTCCTTGCAGCTTCCTCTGACAACCTGGCCCGGCTCTGGTGTGTGGAGACTGGAGAGATTAAGAGAGAGTATGGTGGCCACCAGAAAGCTGTCGTCTGTTTGGCGTTCAATGACAGTGTGCTTGGTTAGCCCTTGCCCCTCAGGATCACAGCCAGCAACTGGGCAGCTGGGACTGCCTGGTGCAGTGGCTGTAGCTTGTTGGACCTGTATACTACTCAGGTCAGAGTGAAACTCTGAGACTAGCCTTTGCCCACCATGCTAGCTGGACTGACTGGGCTACCCCTCCCTCTTGCCAGGCCTGCTCAATTGCCCACTGACTCAGGACGTACATGGCTGGGCTGGGAGAGCCTGCACTCCCATCCGGGATGTGGGACTTATGGGGTTTAGAGTTTCTGAGAGGACCCAAGCTGGTGCCCACCTGCCAAGTCATGTTCCTCCTCCCCCTCCTTCTCCTTTCTGCCCCTGTTCAGGGCCCAAAGACCCAGAGACCACCACCATGGCCAGGTGGAATTGTTTATTAGTCCCTGTCAGCAGCTTCCCTCCAGGTGCTGGTGACACAGCCAACTTAACTAGCCTGTGGGACCATGGGTAGTCCATGGGGCAGTGGCCAGGCTGGGCCAGGCAGAGGGCTTAGTCTGGGAGGTAATAAAAGCAGACAGACACACAGATGTTGCTTGGGAAGCAGATGTCAATGCAGAGATAGATCAGCCGCTGCCTCTGGGGCCCTGGGTGGGAGGGAGACTCATGAATTTCCAAAGCACTCCTACGCAGTTCTGTAGATTGTTCTGCAGGAGCCACACAGCCCCTCCACACATCCTGCCCCAACTCACCCTCAGCTTGACGGGCCCAGTAGATGGGGGTCTTTGCACAAAGGTGCTGCACTGAAGCCCCCACCTGGGCAGGATCCACAGTATGGCTCCCAAGCACTGCCAGCAGCTCCTGGGCATGGTGGGTGTCATGACCTTGGCTGAGAGACCCTTGGGCCTGCAGAAAGGCTGTGGTGGGCTATGGCATGGAGGTTTCCCTCCTCCTGGCTGGGCAGGTACTCGCATCCCACACCCACCTGCCAGCCCCACCTTCTACTTTTGTCAGCAGCCTCAGCTAAGGGAAGATAGAGCTTTCTGTTTCCCTGAAACCAGAGCCCCAGCTGGGCCACACACAGGACCCTTTGTCTGGCCCCTGGCCTGGTGGTGGAACCATGCTCACCCTGGAGGTGTTCATCAGCAGCTGCAGGGTTTCCCGATCTCGGGCCTCCATCAGGCGGAGAAAGCAGGCCTGGTGCTCTGCAGGGCGGTAACAGATGCAGCCCTGGGGAGGCAGGTGGGTGAGGCAGGGCCACCCCAGCACCTATGGATTGATCCCCTCCCCACCCACTCACGCTCTGCCCGTCGAACAGCACTGCCCAGCTGCGGTTGCTCTGAGGTGGAGTCACTATAATGGTTGCCATATTCTGGGCCACGTCCACGATGGTGGTTTGATTGGACCAGGGCACTTGGGGGCTTGGGAAGGTCAGCCGGAGCATCTGCAGCAATGACTGAGAATGGGAAGTGGGAGTTTAGCTGGGCAGGCTGAGCAGCCCCATAGGCCCCTATCCCTGGGCTGCAGCATTTCAACATCATGTGAATGGGCCTCTCCACCCTCTGGTACTCTGCTCTAAGGCCAGTATTAGGGCCTACTTTGGGTCCTGGCTCCACTGGAAGACCAACCTCCCTGACCCCTTCCCACTGCCCATGTCCCTTGGCCTCAGGTGGGGCTCACCTTGGAAGGGCTATGAGCAAACCCAAGAAGCCCTCCAGCCACAGCCCCTGCAGTAGCCAGTGCCAGCAGCAATAACAGCAGGCTTGCAGCTCTCCAGCCCCAGTGGCAGGGCTTGGTCTTCACCTGGGGGCATACTGCAGTCAGTGAGGCTATTGAGTTAGAGACCAGGGAGCAGGTTTGCTTAGGGAAAAGAGGGGATAAGGTGGGGTGGATGGTGGTACTCCTGTCCCCTGCCCTGGACATCCCCATGTTTTTGTCCCAAGAATGATAGAGGTACTCACCTCTGCAGGCCCAGGCCTGGGGCTCTCTGTGTGGCTGCTTCCTTGCTCCATGCTGCAGCCCCTGCCGACAATGCACTGATTGTTTGCAGCCCCTTGGAGGAGTTGGCCCGGAAAACCTCAGGATGACTCTGATGAGCCAAACAACTGCCTCCTCCCCAGCTCAGTATCTGATGTCCAGGTCAGAGCTAGGACAGCCCTCTCTCCCACTGAGGATGCCAGTCATCAGGCCTGGCTCTTGACACCTATCTTGTACCAACAGAACAATATGAGGTCTGCAGGCTTCAGTGGGAATCTTGTCCAGCTGATTCATTGCAGGCAGCCCAGGCCCAGCCAAATGATTCTGTCTGGTTGGAACAGATTTGATGTCTTAGAGTCTGTTTCCAGTTCAGTTACCTGCAGACTCCCAGAGGTGGGCATGGTCCCTGGCACCCAGGGAGCCATCATTAAATACAAACTGTTCAACAAATACAGACTGTTGCCTATTCATTGTCACTAGTATACAGATGGGCACTGCTTCCCTCCCCTCCTGGTGCCTATCAACAGCTTCCCAGCCCCCTCCAATATCACACAGGGCTTTGGGCATCCTTTAGAGTGCGTGCCTGGGACGCGAGAGTTCCAGGCTGGGTCACCAACTGGCAGCCTCCTGGAGTTTCCCACCTGCCAAGGATGGTTAGGTCGGGTGTGTGCCCCAGGATGGCTTATTTCTGCTCACTGCCCTAGTCCTGGTCTCTCTTCAGCCATCTGATGCTTGGTAACTCAGTTGTGTGTGCTTTTCACAGTTTCACCCTTTGACCCTATCCTGCTCTGGTTTTGTACCCTGCTTTTCCTGATCCTCAGAACCTACTCTGTAACAGGCCTGAAATGGGGTGAAGCTGCAGTGCTCTGGAAGGCTCTGGAATTGGAATCTCAGACTGGCCTTTTCCTTTCAGACCTCCCATCCTGCCCCCACCTGCGGCTAGATAGTGGCCATCGGCCACCTTGGTGTTGCTACACACGTGAAAGGAAGGAAGACCCAGTCAGCATGGGTTTGAGAGTTTAATGTGCATTTGGGTTCACACAGTGCAAGGGGCCAGAGATGGGGTGCACACAGGCTCCCAGAAGAGGGAGGCATTGCTGGCTGCTGCACCTGCCATGTGCTCCTGGTGTGGGTGACAATGCCCTGACAGGCCTGCTCAATATCCAGACCCACCTTGAGCCGACCTTGCAGAGCCAACGTCAGCACCACCAACCTTACAGGCATGGCCCCAGCCCAACCACCTTGGCCAGGAGCAGCTGCAGGGATGGAATACCCTTTATTGCTCTGAGAACTTGGTGAACAGATTAAGGAGTACCATGACCACAAGGCTGGGAGAGAAGCCACTGGGTGCAGGGCAAGGCACCAGGAAGGAGTCAGCAGAAAGGAACAGCTTCCCAGCTCTGCCCTGCAAATGCTGCTGAGTCTACTCAGCAGGCTGCTAAAGGTCAGCAAACCAGTGAACAGACAGAAAAGGCCAGAGCCCCTGTCAAGAACCCCTGGCTGGCTGGTGGGCTCTGCCAATCCTCCCACTGGCCATCAACAAGGGAGTCCAGGGCCAAGAGAGGTGGTCTCATGGGCTACTGATATCTAACCCCCACCCAAACCCAGGAGACAGGAGGATAGGAAAAGACTGGATGCTTTGTAAAAGAAATTCCTATTCTTAGGGACCTCTCTCCTTCCCCACCAAGAAGGTGCCCCAGATGACAGGCAGTCCTTGAGTAGTACATGCCTTTAGCTGTGCGCTGCTTGCAGGGCATGCAGCCTTCAGTGGGATTTTCTCTATGAGACATTTAAAGATTCAATTTACCACCTGACAAAGTTGTTCACAAGTTGAAAAAAATTATTATTTTTGGTACCAATGCTGCTCTGAGCTCCCTGTATAGCAGCCCAGACTGCAGCAAAGGCATCCATGCCCACTTAGCCCCTCAGCCGACAATACACTCAGTCTGAGTCACCTGGGTTTAAATGCACACTTGAGATAGCCGAGGTTTAGCTGGGCTGATTTTACAGAACTGGGCAGCTGTATATGAGGAGCCGCAGCCCTGAGCATTTGAAATGGAACAGACAATTGTGACATCAAAGTGGTTTTCAAGGAAGCAGGGGAGGGTGGAGGGTGGTAAGGGCAACACCCCACACCTCAAACACAGGATGACACCACTTGGGAGTAGCCCCTTCCTCCATTCCCGCCTTGCAGGTGAGGAGCTGGGACACAGCAGCTGCTCCTCTGCTGCATGACCATGCAGGGTGGGGGTTAGAAGCCTGGTCTGTTCTGTACAAATGTTTCACAACAGTCACAATAATCAGCCCCATTGCCCCTCTGCCCTTCAAGGGGGCTTAATCCCTGAATAAAATTTTCTGTCAAATACATGACACACTCCTAGACCTGCCTCATTATTATCAGCAGGGCCTGAAGTTACCTGAATCCTGGACAGATGCTATGCCTGCCCTTGCCAACACATCCAAGGCCCAGGACCTATCCCCACAATGCCCTCAAAGATTAAAAGTGCATCTTAAAATATAAGCATCTGTAAACAACATTGCCCCCGGAACATTTACTTACAAAACTAACAAACACTTTTGCTTAACTCCAATTACACTCTGTGGTCACCTACATGAGTGGATGCCTAAGCTCCACCTATTGATTTGGTTAAGTGATTTTGAATTTCTTTTTTTATTCTGGAGATTAAAGACACTAAATCTTTAACCTTGAAGGGCGGGCAAGAGGTCGGCTATGCTGTCAACATAGAAGTCAGGGACCATTTTCTTCTTAGACATGCAGTCACTTTCCTGATTACTCTTCACATCCTCGAGTGTAGAGACTCCAGTCAGGGTCAGGATGGTCTTCAAGCCACAGGTGACGCCCAGGAGGATGTCTGTGTCCAGACGGTCCCCCACCATGACGGTGCGTTCCGGGTTGATGCCGTACTCCTGGGACACGCAGTCGAAGATGAAGCGGCTGGGCTTCCCAATGATGTCGGCCTGACGTTGGGCGGCCATCTCCACCGCTCGAACCAGACAGCCGGTACCTGCGGGGCAGAAGGAAGGAAGGGGCCAAGGGATCAGAGGGCGGAGAGGGGCCGCAGTCCGCCCTCTGGCCTCCCGCCCCGGGGCGCACGGACCCGCGATGAAGTGGCCTTTCTCCAGGGGTAGCCGGTTGTCCATGTTGGTGCCCACAAGCAGGCAGCCGGGCTGCTGCAGATAGCGCACAGCCTTGGTGAGCTTCATGTAGCTGAAGTGCGGGTCGAAGCCCACCACCACAGCGCCCACGTCCGCCTCCAGCGGCTCGGCTAGCCAGTCGGCTGGGCTGTCGCCCCGCAGTGGCTCGGGCCCCACGCCCACGCTGGCGACGCCCACGGCCTCCAGCTCCGAGGCCAGGGCCGGGCTGCCCAGCACGTAGGCCTTCGGGGCCGGCGCGCCGGCCAAGCGCTGGCGCAGGTAGAGCGCGGTGCAGTAGGCCGTGCCGAAGACTTCCAGGCCCGCGCCGGGCCCTGCAGGGCCTCCGAAGCCCAGACGCTGCAGCTTCTCGGCGTAGGCCGCGCGCGTCTTGCTGCTGTTGTTGGTGATGAAGCCCAGGCGCTTGCCGCGGGCCCGCAGCGCCCTCAGGGTCTCGGGCGCGCCAGGCACGGCTGTCTCGCCGCGCCACAGCACGCCGTCGCAGTCGAACAGCAGCGTGTCCACGTCGGCCAGCAGCGCCTGGGCCCGCTCGGCGCTCAGCAGTACGCAGCGGGCGTCGTCGCCGCCGGCCTCCGCCTTCGCCATGGCCGCCCGCCGCCGTCACCGGCCGCCGCCGCCGCCACCGACCGCTCCTTGCAGCCGCCCGCCGCAGGGTCCTCCCCGCCCCCGGAGCGCTCATTGGCCTTGCGTCTCGCGCATGTTGCTCATTGGTCGCTGCCTGCACCAATCCGTCTCTGCCTTCTGCGGGCTGAGGGAGCTCGGCTCCAACCGCCTCGACCGGACACGAGGAAGCGGCAGACCATTGGCTGCAGGGCTTGGGGCTCATTGGTGATTGGTTGGCAGGGCGCCAACCGGCATTCGGAGTAGAGCGCTTGCTGTGGAGACGCTGCTGTCCGAGAGCGGCGCAACACGTAAGGCCGCTGCTTATTGGCAGCTGTAGGGCAGCTCGCCCATTGGAGGCGGGTGGTCAGCCTAGGTGACGGAGACCCATGTTTAAGGGACCCCAGGCCGGGCCGGTTGCTGATTGGCTGGCTAGTCTCGAGGTCAAGCGGGCGGGGTTTTCCGCGTGAGCGTGGCGGGAGGGGCCGCTGTCGGCCTGAGGTTGGAGTCACGTCCTCACTTTCGGCGGTCCTGTATCCGGACACTCTCGGGACACGGTGCATGCGTGTGAGCCGTGTGCCTTCCGCTCCTGGAAGGATTCTTCCCAAAAAGCTTCGTATATTCGCCTCCTGTCCTCGCGCAAACCTTTCCTTGTGCCTCAGGTCTCAGGAACCAGTGATTCCAAAGCGGTGGGAGTGCGGTCTAGGGGGCGGGCGGAACTCAGTACCCAGTAACTGGTCGCTATTGTCGTCATTATCGGTTAATATTAACTTTATTGAGGCGTAACACAAAGGATGTGATTTTTTTTTTAGTTTTATTTTTAATTGTAGATGGACACAATACCTTTGTTTTATTCATTGATATCTGGTGCTGAGGATAGAATCCAGTGCCTCACACGTGCTAGGCAAAGCCTCACACGTGCTAGGCAAGCGCTCTACCACTGAGTCCCAGCCCCAAGGATGTGAATCTCAAATGTGCAGCTCAGTGAAATTTATACATACTTATATGCCAGGTCAACTGTGAACTATTTCCAACACCTCAGAAAGTCCCCTCATGTTCTCACACAGTCATCAGCTTTACCAATCACAGTTCTTGTTTCTGTCATATGGAATCAGAGCCTAGTTTCCCTGTTCTAGACCATCTTTGTGTGGTGTTGGGGATTGAGCCCAGGAGTGCTCTACCACTGAACTACACTCTCTTT